ATCGTGATGCTTAGTCCATACATGGTCTTATCTTCCAATATATATTCGTTTTCTCCATTAAACGGGTGTAGTATAATATCATATATCATCTAGTCCTCCCCCCCACTCTGGTCGAGTAAACATAACTCGATCCAAGAGTGAAATGCCTCTTCGAGCTGTTTTCTTCAACTTGCCGTTAAGATCGAGCATCAAAAGTTGAATGACCATTGAATAACCACTGAAATATCCTCCAAATGAGCTTTGAGATTTCAAGATCAAAAACTGAAAGACCACGGAGGTCGAAAACTGAATGATCTGACGTCGGGGTCGAAAACCGAAAGTCGAGAGACCATTGAGGTTGAAAGCCGAGAGTCGACACCGCTGAGGTCGAAAATCGAGAATCGAGAGACCGTTGAGGTCGAAAGCCGAGAGTCGAGACCGCTGAGGTCAAAAACTGAGAATCGAGACCGTTGGGGTTGAAAACTGAGAATTGAGAGACCATTTAGGTCAAAGACGAGAGTCGAGACCGTTGGGGTCGAAAACCAAGAGTCGAGACCGCTGAGGTTGAAAACCGAGAACTGGGACCGCTGGAAGCGAAAACCGAGAGTCGAGACCGCTGAGGTCAAAAACCAAGAATCGAGAGACCATTGAGGTCGAAAACCGAGAATCGAGACTGCTGGGGTCGAAAACTGAGAGTCGAGACCGCTGAGGTCAAAAACCGAGTACCGAGACCATTGAGGTCGAAAACCGAGAACCGAGACCACTGAGGTCGAAAACCAGGAATCGAGAGACCATTGAGGTTGAGAACCGAGAATCGAGAGATTGTTGAGGTCGAAAACCACGAATTGAGAGACCATTGAGGTCGAGAACCGAGAATCAAGAGACCGTTGAGGTCGAAAATCAAGAATCGAGACTGTTGAGGTCAAAAACTGGGAATCGAGGCTGCTGAGGTCGAAAACCGAGAATCGAGACTGCTAAGGTCAAAAACCGAGAGTCGAGACCACTGAGGTCGAAATCCGAGAACCGAGACTGCTGGGGTCAAAAACCAAGAGTCGAGTAATCGCCAGTGAGGTCGAAAAACAAGAACTGAATGACCACTCCCTGAAGTCTTGAATTTGAAAATTTGAACTTATGCCTGTTCTGTTTCGATCATCCTGTTCGAGCTCTCTTAGACCACCCCGTCCGATCGCCCCTCAGTTTAAAATTTAAAATTCAAGCCTGCTGTATGTCCTCTCAAAACCCAAATGACCTGATTTCCTGAATTGCTTTGAATGAATTCCCTCGACTTACCACCGAGGTTAAAAAATAAATTCAACAAGACCAAACCAGACTCAACAACCAACCTGCTTGAGCAATAATCAATATACTCGACCCACCACTGGGGTCGAAAAATACATTTGATAGACCAGAATCAACAATCAACAACCTGCTCGAGCAATAATGAATATACTCGACCCGCCACTGAGGTCGAAAAATACATTCGATAGACCAGAATCAACAATCAACAACCTGCTCATCGACTGCCTCCGAGGTCTGCTCGAGCTATCCATGTCTTCGCGACCCAACACTAGGATCGACCACCCAGCCCGGAGGCCTTAGTCATGGTGGATTTCTTTGTCTTCGAGCACATGCCCA